AAATTGCATGAATAATAGAGATCGCATTTTTCAGAAGTTTGGAATATTATTCTTCATTCGGGGATTTTTTTTCGTGCGGGAATATGATAGGACGTCCACATGGATGATTCACACGGTGAGAGAAATATGGAAAAAATAAGTCGTTCTGAATTATTATTTGAAAAATAGCCATGGCTTCAGTGATGAATTCGGATAAATGACGCGATTGAATGAAATAAAACTCAGTTTAATTTTTCAGGGGTTATTTCAACATTCGTTTAACGTCAATGAAAATGTGTTAATTATGTGAAATGAATAATTCATTTCGTAAGAATGAATCTTCCGTTGGAATTGAATAAACGATTTATTTAATGCGAATGAAGATTATTCAAATTGAATAAATTGCTTATTCAATGTAAATAAATTCATTTCTCTAGGTGTTTATTGTTATAAAAAAAAATGAAATTTCCAGGATCGTTCAAAAAAATTATTTTCTTTTTAGCTAGTAAAGTCTTTAAATCAAGGAATCATCTATTAATTAAGCAATTATTCATTCGATCCAAATCCAATTTATTTTATTTAAATCAATTAGTTCGTTAGTTGATTTGGAAGACACTTGGCTGGCAAATTTCCGAAGATTTTACAATAATTTTAAATGAATCGTTAGAGAACATATTAAAAATCTGAAAAAAATTAGAAAGATTACTTTTGGTGAAAGATTGATGAGACAATTAAAAATTGCAATTTTTGAAAATTACGAGCACTTTCTATGAATAATTTGTGAACAATCAATTTTCCGCCATAAAAATCATTTGTTCGGAATCGTAACAAATTTATTCATATTCAGAATTTTACCAGAAATCGATTTCATGCCTAGACGAATAAGATTTCCGAAAGTTTAAACAATTTCAATTCTTTATTTAGAAATAGCAAATTTAAAAAAAATACTAATTCCATTTAAAATATTATTGGAATGACGCTGAGTATTCATGATTTGTCTCAAATCTTCCTTGCGCAATTTAATTGACAAAATTGATGATTGAAAATGGTTCAATCGATAGTTACTTGGATATTCTTAAATCGTATTCAATATCTCTCTCCTGAAAATTACTCGTCAATTGACCACAGAATTTCAATTTTTTTCCAACAGTGTACTTGACAATCGATGATGAAAAATCCAAAAAGCCATCGAAACGGAAGGAACTGCACGACCTCGTGGGGTTATGCTCCTCCAACTCTGGTATCGGGTCGACGCGCGGCCCACAAATTTACATCTATCTTTCTAATTTCGTTGGGCCAATCTGCATGTTGTTATGCCACTCCATGCTGAGGGGCGCGGAGGGCAGAAGAGGAAACGACGGTCCGTTAAAGCCGAGGTCGCTTAAATAAACTGTTCCCGTGAGACTGTCTATATTCCGGCTCTCTCTTACCACTCCCCATTCTCCTCACCGCCACTTCATCCCTCACCCCCTTATTTCTACCTTTTTTTATTGGTCTTTACAGTCTTTGCACTTGTCTCGACAGCCCTTGAATTCTTGCGATTTAACAATTGTGAATTCAATTGCCGGTGTTTCCAATGGGATAAAAAGTCAAGGGCTGCTCCATGTTTGTTAATCAAATTTCCATTTCTTCTTTCGCCTGTCATCAACGACTTCCTGATGTTTGACGTTTGTAATATTTTTTTCTTTGTCCAATATGTGTATTCAATCATGCATAGGGGAAGAATAATCCCTGGATTGAGAATTTTTCTGTCGATTGAAGAAGAAAAAATGTTTTGGTACAATATTTTTTTAGATATATTATGGTAATTTAAATTAAAACTATATAAAAGAAGAAATAAAGAAATGTAGAAAAGTCTAAAGAGTGAGAAGAATATTTCAGACTGGTATTTATGAGAATTAGAATAAATTTATGAAGTTTTCTTTAGGAAAATTTGGAAAATTGATATAGTTTAATGTGAGATGAATCTCTTGTTTTATTAATGAACGGCCACCAGAGGCTTGACGAAACAGATTGCTGACAGATTTCACTGTTAGATACACCTAATTTCATAAACCTTACAACATGAATTGTTTATAGTGAAAATTTTAAAGATTTCTCCAATTCTTCCTCAAACCTGAACATAATAAAGTGGACATTAACTCCTTTATAATGAATAAATAAATCAATACATAATGATAAAAAATAATATACGTAAATCACTAGCCAAGTTCGTTTATTGGATATCGATAACTTAATTCTTTTGCTATCGTCAAATTACTATTCAAATTCTCATACAAACCGGTATTCAGAATTAATAAAATTGTCTTCGTGTTCACCATTGATTTATTCACACCCGAAGCGCTTTCTTTCCTAAAAAACCCTACGACAAGTCATTGTGTTACAAAATCCTCCGGCGAATCCTCACAGTCCCGTGTAATCTTACCGATTCATCCCGCCTTTTCCCCCTTTATCTTTCAGAAAACGGGCTTCACGTTGAGGAACAGACTGCCCAGATAAACTGCGAAACGAAAAGCTGGGCTTGTAGATCCGGCCATTACCAAGGGTGGCTCCCCCTTCTGCCCTAGGTGCCGGAGGATTACAAAGGCATTAGGGATTGGTGATAGGACTTCACTCGGACACCGATGACACGTCTTATGGTCCCGTAAAAGAACGAAAAAAAACGTCCTTCAAAAACCCCATCACACATACCATCTAGACCCTATTGAAGCTCTCCAACCGCTGATTCTAATCAAAACCCATCGCTCTTCTAGTCCTATACTCAAAGAAATGACTCATTTGAATAGAATAAAACTCTTCCTTTGAAATTTTTCTATTCATTCCAATAATATTTTTGTCTCAATTTCAAAATGTTTCAATTATATGAAATATATAATTTATTCATATAATTTATTCCAAACGAAGGGTTATTGCATGTAAGTAAATTCGTTCCCTTTCCAATTGAAACAATGGTTTCATTTCTTAATAATAAAGTTTTCATTCGAATCAAGAAATTATTTGTTTATAGTTTGACAAACTATTCATATAATGTGAATAAGAATGCAAATGAAAATTAAATTCAAGTGAGAACAAAAACTGTATTACGAACTGTTGTTAGTGAAGATTCCAAAAACTCATTGTCAAAAATTAATATCTCTAAAGTCACTGACATCTACCTGAAAATCAAAACTTTTCTCTCCGCGTTCCAAGCTTAAGGGATAACAGAAGCCACCATTTCCCCGAAATTTTCAGCCAAATTTCCTGCCCAAAGTTATTAATATTTTCCTGGAGATTGAAGTGCTTCGATTTCTAAAAATATCGATAACTGTCGCCAGGAAATTTGTTCAAAAATGAGCAAAACTAGCGGCATTCTGTTACCCCTTAAACACTAAAACAATTGCAAAATATGCAAACCACAACTGATAAAAAGCATTTCATCGCTCTCCTCCCCCTCATCATAATCACCAAAAGCCAAAAGACCGGCATCAGCATAACCGAGCCTTCCTCAAACTGTCTTCGGCTCTTCCTCAGCACTTGCGTTTATCACTAGTAACGACAGAACCCACCATGTCAGCGTCGTGGCATGATGGCAAACAATGCATCGTTAATTGCATCAGGCCTCAAATCTAGCCCTCGAGCGGTGTACGAGATGGAGACCCAACGCCGCACCTCCATGAATCGCTTTGCCTAGAAATTTCTCCCACGTGACCACACGGGGTACCCACCCGTCTCTCCGGCAATCGGGCGTCTTCCACATCCTCCCAACCCCTTCCCCCCAACCCCTTCTCCACCCTCCCGCCCCCGCTGCTCCGCCGGTCCTCCCGTACGTGCTGCCTCATGCCCTTCATCGTCAAACTCCTGGGGCACACACAGCCGTCCAAATTTCAATGTGTGTGCGTTTGGAAATCTGCTTGACGAACGTGTATGCCGGGTGTAACGGTGCGCGTCGTCGGTGGACCGTCGACAAAATGGCGGTAATAAGGGGTGTCAGGAAAATGGCCGCTCTGATGAAGCCTGAATCGCGGCATTATGGGAACTGATTGCACGAAACTGTGCAACGACGGATTGAGGGGGTGGGGGAGTGAGAGTGAATGGGCGGCGACGGGGGGGAAGGGGCGGCGAATGGGGGGGGGGGGGGTANGATCGTCCAGAGGAAGGCGCTGGTGTGAGGGATCGAGTGATGAGGGATGAGATTGTGGGAGGGGGGAGGGAGGGGGCGGAGGAGGGCATGCGGTCACGTACTGCCAGGAGCGCAGAAAGGGTACCACCACTGTCCCCGAAGGAAGGGAAGGGGGGATTATAGAGTTAGTTAGCGATGTGTGATGCCGTGACGCTTGCACGGGCGAGAGAGGTGAGGAATTGAGGGGTGTTGCATTGCCAGGACCAGTGAGGGAAATGAAGAGACGGTGTAGGTTAGGAATGCTAAATTGTCCCGGGGATCACGTCGAATTACCCGGTAAATTATTATCCGATTAGGGTGGTACCGTTCATTTACTGAGATTCAAAATTTCAACGTGACTTGGAATAACGATGAGGCTGTGTCACACCTGCGAGGTCGGGGGAGGGGGTGATTGGTTTGGGAGGGGTGGGGGCAGCTGATTGATAGGGGAAGTTTTGGGGGGTTCGAGTGATCTGATAACACGTTTTTTGTTTTTTTTTTGGATATCTGTTTTCTAGAAAAGTCAAAACATTGACGTGTTTTTTCTAATTGCAGGAATTTTTAAAAATTTTGGTATTTGATTTCCGACAAAAAAGACGACAAATGCAATAAAATGTCGAGAATTAGGTGTTTGGTATATTTTACACCACTTTCATCTTATGGTCATGGAATTAAAAAATTCATTCGGCTGGTGGGGGCCTCTCAATAATTCAGAACTCGCGTGACTCTTGGGGGTGGATAAACGTACTTGTTCTGGTGGAATTAATATTTCAGGGGAACAATAAATGGTGCTTGCTCACGTTCTCAGGCGAAGGGGGAGGGCGAGGAAGCGGATGTGAAGTGTCTTAAAAGATTTCAGTTGTACCAAATAATCCTTCACTTATTACATATCATTTACGAAGAAATATATGCTTCTGTCGTATCTTGGTTGTATTGGCCTGTAATTATGACGATCGTTGTGGCGCAATCGCAATGTTCTCAATTCGCGCATCTGGAAATAGAAGGAAAAAATGGAATTAATCAATTTAGTTGAGAATAGTGAGCCATACAGAAGAATATAGAGATGATACTCAGCCAATTTCAGATGTTTCTGGTGTTCGAAATGTGAGGAATTCACACTGAGAACATTTATTTATACGGAATTAATTTGTGCAGAAAAATTTCATTTAAATTTTTGCTTCAAACAAATTTGTTTGTCATAAATTTTGGTGCTGCGGCGCAATAATTTTTCCACGCGTGCAAATTGTGCCTGATTTGTGGTGCAATGGTAACAATTTATATTGCATCACAGTGTCACTGAAATTTCAAGGATTTTCGCAATTGAAAATTCAAAATTTTATGAAAAAATCCATTGAAACTGTAAATGTCACTTCCATTATTTCATGAAAATTCATAGAATTCCGAAAAATTCAGGTAAATACATTCTTGAATTGTCAATTGGCTTAAAATTCAGAGTAATTTGGTACTGAATATTCATGTTCCGATTGGAAATTCAAGTTAATTGGGAAATGTTAATCTTTCCACTATTGAAGAATTTTTCTAGGAATTTTTTATCTGTGGTACTGCACTTTTCTATATGATGAAATTAACTGATTTATGGTTGAGATAATAACTTGTGAAGTTGATACAGGCGGCACGAAATTGGAAACGATCCAGATGACGGCTTCATAGCAGGGTGGGGTTGTCAAAGACCCCATGTACGTCATGAAAGAGGTGGGTGCACCAACCACCTCGAAAATCGAGAGGGGAAAAGGCACCAGACTCGCTTTAGAATCCACGTCCCTAATTTCTTCGATATGATCGAAAATCATATTCAGTGGAGCGACTCGATCATGATCATCATCGATCTGCGCAGTAATAAAAAAAAATTATTCATTATAGTTTGAATGTTAATTTTCATTATTGGTGCATGCGGAACGTCCGTAAAATCTTACTTTCCACACATTGTGATGCACTGTTGAAAATTATCCACTAAAATTTCCGGTAAGGGTCTTGGAAATTTTTAATACTCAGGTAGGAATCGACGATAGAAACAGAGCTCATCAAATCTTGGATTTTCAGATCTTGGATTTTTCCAGGGGGGAAGTCGACTTTCGCCAAAATCGAATTTTTTCGAGAAGTGAAGGTTGATTCTGTATCTACTAACGATTCTGATACCAATGAAATCCTCAGAGGCGCGAGAAATGTCGAAATGAAAAAGTTTTTTTTGACCTCGGGGCAAAGTGTAAGATCTTCGATTTTTCCAGGGGAAAAGTCAACTTTCGCCAAAATCGAATTTTTTCGCCAAGTGAAGGTTGATTCTGTATCTACTAACGATTCTGATGCCAATGAAACTCTCAGAGGGGCGAGAAATGTCGAAATGAAAAAGTTTTTTTTTCACTTTGAGCCAAAGTGTGAGATCTTCGATTTTTCCAGGGGGAAAGTCGACTTTTGCCAAAATCGAATTTCTTCGCCAAATGAAGGTCGATTCTGTACCTACTGACGATTCTGATGCCAATGAAACCCTCGGAGGCGCGAGAAATGTCGAAATAAAAATTTCTTGTTTTTATTTCAACTATAAATCGATGAAATTAAACCAGTCCTAGGCCTGAGTCACTGAGCCTCGCTAAACCTAGGCTCGTACAGGCTTGTTCCCATCGTCAGCCTATATAATTCCTACCTGAGTAAATAACATGTCCTCTGAATTTTCAAAGAATTTGCCGTTGAAAATTCTTAATTTCATGGAAAAATCCCTGAGAACTGTAATGAATTTTTAGGGAATTCCTTCCGAAATTTCTGAAATTTCAAGAATTCTGAAGGAATTCCATAAAAATTCAAGGGAATTTAGCAGTGAATATTCATTTTCACTTGACTTCATGGAAATTATCGAATTCCTGCCGCTAAAAAATTCAGATTTCATTCAAATTTCTTGAGAAACTTAAAATTCCGTTGAATTTTTCCCCTTAAATCGGATTCAATGTCCTTTTCCGGAAAATCCTCCAAATTTTTCTAACAGTGTGAAACATAGAGTTCAACACTCGTGCGGAAAGTGTTCGTTTACCCTTTGGACGGCCCAAAAAAAACTTTTTCGTCACTCCGGCCATAGGACCGTAGGCGACGATTTACGGACGCGTACCATCTCGTTAGCTAATACACTAATACCTCGAAAAATACTCCAACGACGGCTAATCCATCGGAGTGCCGTAGAGCCTTCTCGAAGGAGCCGTACGCCCTCTTCCAATGGACCATGTGCATTTCCAACGGGAAACTAGAGAATAGAAGAATAGAAATAATTTCTTTTGATCGAAGAATGCAATGAAGATGCATGCAGAAGGAAATTGTAGATGAAAGATTTGGCAGTGACCTAGAGCCGTCAGCGGTGTGTTCACTTCCCACTGAGTCATCCTCACCCCAATGGAAATGTAATTGTGTGAATACGTATTCACTATAGAGGGGACCACCAGTCATGTAAGGAAGAGAAGTCTGGGGCCAAAATGCATTCAATGTCACTAGAAATGAAGACGAATATTTGATTTGAAAGGTGATCATGGATGGCGTAGTATCAGATATATGAAGAGATGATTCATTGGTACATATAGCCGAATAAATAACCCTACCAGGGGGTTAAGGGGTTCCATCTTTGAAAAAAATGACGACAATGATTCGAAATTTTAATAGGATTGTTGATAACTTGACAAAAAAATGTAGAAAAATTGCAGGAAAATTCAGAGATTATCTAATTGTGATTATAAATATATTATATGAAGTCCAGGTAATTATCATCATTTACTTGCTTCGAATCGAACATCCTAAGATGTTTTTAAGATGGTCTTAAGATTAAAAGATGAAGTTTGGAGAAATTTAATATTCAATACTTCCGGGAACTGATGAAAATACAATCAGATTTTCTGATCGGAATTTTACGCCCCGCAATGTCCGTTTTATGTTTTTTTTACCAAAAATCCTATGAGAAGTCCTATGAAACTTTCCTATACAACAAGACGTCTTCAAGATAAATTGAAATGCTCAAAAATCGTCTTTTCGATTATTAACTTTGAATATTTCACAAGAAATAATCTTTCAACTCAACTATTCATTGGATCCTCTACTCACACGTGTGACCATTATTAGAAATCGTCATATTTTCAGGTGCATCGTCATACCCCACCCACCTAAGTGGTGATGCATCCGCGACATATCGGAAATAGTCGGGATTGAGATCGATGGGGGACTGTCTGTATCTCTTGCAGATCGGGTAATCAACTTTCCACGAATCTGGATCCATATAGTCAAATCCGTGTATGCCACGCGTCCACTTCAGCAGTCCCACGGCTTCGAGAAAGAAAATATGTCAAGTAAAAATCATTGTAAACCTTGAAAAAATCCTTAAGTAAATAATTGCATGTCGCGGAGGAAAATGTATGATAAAAATTCTTTTGAAGGTGTCGGTAAAAGTCAAGCACTGTCTGAAAAAAATCATAAAATTTTAAAGTTCACTGAAAATGATGAAATCTCAAATGTTTGAGCGCCAAGAAAGAGACAATTCCTTAAATTACTTGAATTTTTAAACGAATTATTAATATTCAGTATCAAATTGTTCTGAATTTTTCTAAGGTCCTTGAAAATCCTTACCTTTTGTCACCAACACACCGTAAAGCAACATAACCAAAGTAGTGATCATCCACCAGAACATAATGAAGAGTGGGTGGTAAATTTATCGACAAAATCCACTCTCAATAATTCTTAATTACAGTCCCTTTGATACAACGAGAGTGTGATATTAACTTGAAATTTACTCCAACCTTCAATCAGAGTTGTATCGCAGCAACAGCTGGGCTGAAGTGCTGCAGGAAGTCGTAAAAATTTAATCTCAGAACAATTTACGATCAATGCAATGGTAAATTAACCTGTCAGTCATAAATGCTATTCAATTTGTTAACTACATACTTGCAAAACGTTGAATTTCATGGGATATTCTCACTACCCATTTCCTATTCACACTGGAATGAAGAGAAAAATGGGGGAAAAAATACTTTTACTTCCTCTCATCACCACTTTCCAGAGATTGAACGAAGCTTGGCTGCTGTTACGAGTGTTCTCATTGACAAAATCTCGGGGAGATCGCTGTGAGGGGCCTGAAGGGCTTGCAGGAGTGAAGGGTCCAATCGCGAATGCAATATCTTCCGGTGGTTTTCACTCCACAAACCTCTTTGAAAAAACACTGACTGTGATTTCATCGCGCTCGCTTAATTCCTCGAAAACGTTGATGTTGATCTTGCTCATGCCGAAAAGGGAAGAGAGTTGGGGGAATATCTTGGTGGTCGCCGGGGTGAATAAAAATATTCGGGCTCTTGATCACTTGAGCTCCCGGAAATGATCCCGGGGATCTGGAGGACCACTCAGGGGGCATGTGGAAATTTTTGGTGATTAACATTTTAGGAATTCCTCGCTGAATTGCAGCAGATGTTTTTTTCGGTCTTGATGAAATTTATTGCTGCCCACTGTTAACAATTTTTTGCTGAAATTTTCGGTCTTGGAAGTCTTGGAAATTTGTAAGAAATAACATTTCCAATGAATTTTCGAGGAATTGTGTCATTCAAAATTCAGAATTTTATGGAGAAACTCGTGAAAACTGTGAATTTCAGTTTAATTGTTCCGTGAAATTAATAAAAAATTGGGAAAATTCAGAGAATGCTCTCCTTGAATTCCAGATACCTTTTAATTTTCAGGGAATTCCTTCGAAAATTTGTGGAGTTCTAAGAATTTTGAGGAATTGGTTGAGAATTCAAGGGAATTTGGGAGTAAATATTCATAGTCACTTGAAAATTTATGTGAATTAGAGAATTTCCATCTTCCCGTCGCTAAAAAAATGGGACTTTACTGGAATTTTCAGAGAAACTTGAAATTCCATCGACGTTTTCCCATAAATCGAAATCAAGGTATTTTTCCGGAAAATTCAGTCAAATTTGTTTAACAGTGCAAGTGAATTGGGGGAAAAATTATCGATTTAGTCCCAGTAGACTCAATCATCTCAAATGAAAAGTTTGTCATTCGTATTGTCTTTTCTTTAAATCTAGATTGAACGGATTCAGAATTATTCATTAATTTTTCACTTATTATTCATCTTTGTCATCGATTGATTTTTTTTAATGTATCATTTATTTTTATGGCGCATTTCTGGGTCTAGGGAATTTAATCCATTTGAAATTTGAATGAAGAAAAGGGAGCTTCTCACAAATAAATGACGTGATAAATCCGCGTGCGCGTCCTGTCTAGTAAATAAGCAATTAATTCGAAATAAGTTCTCTATTTCAATCAAATCAAACCATTTCTTTTATCTATATAGAGGATTATTGCACATTAATAAATTCCATTCTCAAATCATAAAATCTTCACCTAAATTTAAAAAAACCTTTGTTGATATTTTTAAAAAATTATCAATTGGATGTGAGTAAAAATGCGAATAAACATCAAGTTCAACGTCCAATAAAAGATTCATTCCGAGCTAGTAGACTAAACTGATTTATTCATTGTGAATAAAGTTTATTTAATTCGAGTGAAAGATCTCTCCGGGTGTAGTAAAATGATAAAAAATCTCCCATTACGTGTAAATTGTCCCGGTGGGATTCAAAGTACCTCTGATTGTACACCATCATCACGCAAATACAACAAAAATTCAGCTCAGCGAATGTTCGCTCCCCACGCAAGGTATAATTCAAGGGAAAATGAGAGCACATTTTTGCCCCTCAATAACGACCGACACTTGATGAAATACATCCCATCGAAAGACGAGAGTGGAAAAAAGCCAACTAATGGCCGACAGCCAGCTCATTTACGCTTGTTTTCCAGCCCCCTTCCAATAATATCACTGTTAATTAATACAATGAAAAAGATGGCCAGGCATTGTCTCTCGCCTCAATGGGTACTCATTAGCGACCAAGGTTGGGGTTTCAAAAGCCGACCATGCTTGCCCACCACCATTAACGGCAGCCCAATGAGAATATGGATGCGCGAGAGAAGTGAAAATGTTGAAACTAACAAAACCTTCCCTCCGAAGTCTCAATGATTCCATTGAATTTAAACAACACTCTTGCAGCCTCTTTCCTCTTCGCTATTCTCCCGTATTTCTATTAATTGGATAACTTCGGTAATTAGTTAGTGACCATCACATTTAAATTAACCCTATTTTTGTATTTTTATTTGAGAAATGAGAGATGTGTTGAGCGCTTTCATTGCACAGGGAATTTTCAGTCGTAATGTAACGAGTGCTTCACAATTTTTAATAAATTTTGAAGCTCGAGGGCCATTTGGATGAAGTATTTTCCCTTTATGAATTTTAAATGATGTTAGGGATATGGTATTTGATGTTTTTGCGGAAATCTTGATTCAAAAATTTAGGTTCTCATTGCAAAACAAAATTAGGAATGAGAAAATGGAAACTATTGCTTCATATCTAGATGCGAGCAAGTGAAAGCACAATTATTATTGAGTACATCATCGGAATAATTCTTTTACGTAAAATGTAAAATCCTGCATTCTTATTTGTTGAAATTTAGCTGAGAGACATAATCAGTAAAAATAGAAATTTCATTGTTTCTTACCAACTAAATTGAATTCAAGGTTATCCTCTTGAAAATTACTCCTACACTGTTAGCAATTTTTTGAGAAATTAAGTAATAGTTGCACTTGAACTCTCAATGTTGTGAACTTGGTTTCAATTTAAGATCGCATCGTTCATGGAATCGCTCACTCAGATTAAAAATTCAGAATAATTAGATTTTCCATGTTAGATTATCATTGACATTTCAACGACATCTGCAATTTTCAAATTATTTAATAACTTTCATTATCATGCGGCCTTGAAAATTGCAATTCCATTGAATACCCCAGAATTCAACTGATTTTTCAATAACAAAATACATAAAAATTTCGCCCGAATGAGTGATTGTTAAACATTTCACGATTTTCTAAGTGAAATTTCAGCAGTAATTTTTTAACATTGCAAATGCGTTAATTTTCAGCTTTATAAAAAAATAAACTGAGATATTTTCAAAAATAGATTGTATTAAATTAAAATATAAAAGATAAAATAAAATAGAATGAAATAAAAACGAAATGAATTAATATTTTCCAAAAATCTATTTTTCTTTATAAATTTCGACTTCGTCGCTCAGTTTTCATTATAAAATATTCATCGTCACATCTCTAATATCTCGACTGATATTTCTACCGCAAAAGAAATATCCGGAATAATTCAGTGGAGAAAATGTGTCCTGCTCTAGCGTTATTAATTAATGCAGGGGGTAGACGTAAAGGGCGTTTGGAGTGGCACTAAGCAAACATCAAAGAGTACCCAATGCAGCTTCCATTGAGCGTGCAGGGAGCATGTTCACTCACAAGTGCGCTCAGTGAATTAATGGCCATTAATAATATTTTATTCATTATTACTCGCATTTTTTTCTGTTTTCGTTTTTATGAAAGGAAAATTATCATTTGTCGGACTTACACACATGCCGTTCCATACGGTATCAACCGGAATTGGATAAATGATACTGCTGCTCGTTGTGGTTGTCTTGCTTAATGTAACAGACAACGCAACGCACGCTCGTTCTAACACCCCACCGATTTTCGCCGTTGATGGCTGCCCAATGGTTTCATTAACGAGATTGGTGAAATCGGTGTTTATTCGATGAACATAGCTTCTAATTTTGGGGATTGGAGTTTTGTTCAGGTATAAAAATAACATTTGTGGCGGTTGTAAATAAAGAATCATATTCATTTCCAGAGGGAAAAGTGATTTTATAGTTTTCGTTGAGATTAAAATTGTAGAATAAAGTGGGGCCCATACGGAAAAATACATATTCTGAAAATTATATATTTTATATATAGAATTGGCCTGATTTATATATAAAGTTATATAAAACATATATGAATAAATTACATATATATCTATATATTTTATATAAATCTTAGGCCTGGTTCCACCAAGCACTGTTATCCAAATAAATCCCAGGGTAAAATTTATCCTCGGGGTCAATTATATCGCAGGAGTCATAATTTTTCAATATTTGACCCGAAGAATAATTTTTTATTTATCCTGTAGCCCTATTTGAATTAACAACGATCCACAAAATTTGTGGATATGAAAACAACACAGGTTTAACCTGACCCACACAAATAATATTCATTTCCAGAGAACAAACTGATTTGATATTTTTCATTCACCAAAAACTAATGAATTAATTAATTTCAATTTAACACACCAAATTGATGAATAAGAAAATAATTGAATGCAAGACAGAGTTAAAATTTCCTAAATAAACAACATCTAAGAATATCGACAATCATCAGGATGCCATTGGCAATATTTGTTTATAAATTTTCTGTAAATATCTCACAACATTTATTACTGCACTTGATAACAAAAATTGCATTCAACTGAAGCTCATTAGATCAAAATAATTCCCCAAAAGTAATGAATTAATTCACTTCAATTTAACACACCAAATTGATGAACAAGGAAATAATTGAATGCACGACAGGGTTAAAATTTCCTAAATAAAGAACATCTAAGAATATCGACCATCATCAGGATGCCATTGGCAATATTTATTTATAAATTTTCAGTAAATACCTCGCAACATTTATTACTGCACTTGATAACAAAAATTGCATTCAACTGAAGCTAATTAG